CTCGTACGCACAACTGAAGAACAAATCTGTACGTACAACGGTTCTTGCATGAGGCCCATTGTTCTTTTTTATAATGTGTTTGAATATTGTTGTTGTTGTTATTACTTTTATTATTAATAATAATAATAATAAATTTGGGAAGACATTTACCAAACAAACAAATCAGCATCATGATCACCCTGGTTTCTAACATTTTTTATTAGTTATGAAAAACACAACCTGACTAATGTCTACTGATATGAAATGTCTTCATAATGAACATAAACTTGAGCTGACTCTCTGAGTACAAAAAGATATACAACTTTTTAAAAATCTRCTTAATTTAAAGTTATTCTCAGTGAGGTTTTGGATCACAGAATAGGTCAACAGGCCACTTGTCAGGTTTTGTTTGCCGAACTGTCAACTTAGTTTCTCACATGCCATTCATCACAACAGGCTAACTAACTAGTGTGCAATACTTGATTAAAAGTTAAATTACATGAACATGTTCGGGTATATTTATTCTAATAAAGACAGGGAGACAAAGTGGCTCAGAGAGGAGGTAAAGTTCTGAAGCTCAGCGCTGGTTTTGGGCAGCACGGCCTGCGGACCAGAGCCACTAAATTAGCACCAACTTAATGCCAACACGACGGTAACAACAAGCTAGTTACTGGTTAGCCGAGCTAGTTAAGAAGACACCTAGCTGCCTGTTTGTGGCACGGTGTTTTTAACGAGTAAACATTGTTTATTATTAGCCGTGACGTTAGCATTGAAGGTCATAAGTTAGCCATCGGCTTTGAACAACAGCACCTGCTTACGTAGCCGCTAGCTTTAGCAGCTAGCTCCTGTTAGCTCCTCAAAGTATCGCTACTCACCTTCGACTGCAGCTGCGGCCGACTCCCGCCTACTGAACAGTTTCAGCGTCCAACTCGCTGTAAATTAATTCTGATTAGCAGCGATAAGTGATTTTAATCACGAACGAGGCATAGATTTCAGAAAGTCTCAGCCACATGTCTTATAAGCTGGCTGCGAGTGTGCGCTTCTGATGCCCTCTAAAGGAGCCTCTGAGTATTACAGCCCAGCTAGTTTATTACAAGAGAAACAGAAAGTTACATTTCAAAATATATGATTCATTTTATATCATACTAAATAAATCTGTTAAATAACAGCTGACGCCAGGGTAACTTAAAGAAAAAAATGTTTTCTAAAAATAAATAAACTAACCCAGCTCCACTCATATTTTTGTACCTAAAATAAGTTTTCCATTAAAAATATAATATTAACACATTTATTAGTTATTAGTTCTTTAAAGTTTGAAGCAGTTTTTGAGCCGCAGTAAGAACATATTAACAATAAGATAATTTTGTGCTTCTCAAGGTTGTCAATTTATCAAGGCTGACATATTTACCTTATAAACAATTTCATGCAGTCATGCTCAGAGTATATGACTCTCAGCTACTACCATATCAAACTGATGCTAGATAATGAAGCTCATGATCTGTAAAATTGAAGTTGTAGCCATTTTGTGTTGACTAAAGTTGATTAGCTGTTGGGGGCAACTTGAATTAGTTGTAGACGTACATCCTTTGATTTCTTGTTGAAAGTTTCAATAAAATACATCCAGTTGTTCAAGAGATATTTTGCTAACAGGAAAAACTCCCAACAGTTAAGAGTCAAAGCTTCAGAGATCTCACTCAACGTGTGGCCCTTTAAGTATTTGTTAYGAATGACTRTCAGYGACTCCGACACCAAATTTAAACYCAGTATTTGTCAAATTTAGATTTAGTTGAAGTCAACCCAATTCAAGATGGCCACCACAGCTAATCAACATTAGCAAACGTAAAAATGACTACAACTTAGTTTTTCAAATGAGCTTAAATTGGTGGGGTAGTAGCKGAGAGTCATACTGTGTGCCAACAGATCTGTTTRCACTACAGCACTGATCTTAATCTGTAAGCAAAATGTCTCATGAACAACTTAAATCAAATTTAATGAAACTTTCAGGATACAATTATTTCTGCAGCTGAGTACRTTTTGGAGTCGACCCAATTAAAGATGGCCGCCACAGCTTAGGAATAAAGAATAAGGATCATAGGAAATAAAAAAAATAGCTATAATTCAGTCATTTTAATATATTTAGGTCAAATTTGGTGTGGTTGTAGCTGAGAGCGATTCACATCACATGCTCTAATGTGCCCCTTATTGTATGAAACAATTATTTAAAAGTCTAGCATAAACTGTAAGGGTCAACCTCATTTGTCTGTTAACAAAATACGTATCTCCAGAACTACAGGATGGATTTGAATAGAACTTTCAGGATACAATCTTTGGATGCCTCTCTGCAAATAATTAACTTCTRGAGTCAATCTAATTAAAGATGGCCACCACAGTCAACTGATCTTCGTAACCAATAGAAAGTCAGTTTAACAGATTTAAGCAAAAGAAAAGCAAAAACCAAGAGTAAACCCTCATACCAAATGTTCAGTGTTTTATTTAAAAACTATAAACAGTCACCAAAGTAAATAAAGCCAATCTCTAACAGACTGTTAGGTCTATGTATAGTCACACATCCTACTGACACGGCAGAAATGAAGATGGGTCGCCCCGGTCCGATGCTAAYACGACAGGCAGTCATATGTTACACAACACACGGCAGAGAGGACAGTCTGAAGACGTGAGCCGGAATGTGGCATGGTATTAAGAATGAAAAAATAGTACAATAAAACTCCACACTATATTAAGATAGAAAAAAGTAGTGAAGAAAATATCATACCTGCACGTAAAGCAAAGAACACAGGAGAAAACCTGTATAAAAACTCCATGTATTTAAACCAATTTACAAATACAAAAAAAGTTTTGGTACGCGCACCGTGCCCGTACGATGACAAAAACGCTTACAGTGGATATATGTTTCTGTGTGTGTGCTGAGGGGGGGAGGGTGTGTGAGGGGACAGGAAGAGAATACCTTCAATATTCTTTTTGTTTTTTCATTTTCTTCTACAAAATGACATGAGATATATTATTCCATACTCTTTCAGCCAGCAAAATGAGTTCTCCAAGGTATTATAATACAAAAAATGTCACAGTTCCACAAAAAACTGTTTTCCCCCACCCTAAGCTTTACAGCATCAGTACCTTTGCAGAATTATTTACAAGTTTTAAGTACATTCATCCACTGCTGAGTATAGAATCACATTAGATACAAGTGACCAAGGATCATTAAAAAAAAAACCTAAAAGGAAAAACAAACATACTACTTTATTAAATCTTGCCAAAGTAATGCTTCTATTAACCCCTTAGAGTTAGTTCTCCAGTGGCTGCATCGGCATGAAAGGATCCTCTTTATATATATTCACAATTTATTTACAAGATTCTTTTTTTTATTCATCGTAATGGTATTCATTTCAATAATAAATAAGTGAAAATATATTGACTCAAGTAAGAAAACCAAGCTACCAAGTTTCTAAAAGAAAAAAAAAWWWTTTTTTCTCTGCACCAGTTGCCAGCAGAGTCCTCCTCCTCCTGTAGCTCCGCCCACTTCTCCCATGCCCCGCCCCACCCTTGCCCATCCAGACTCTTCAGTCACCCCTCGCCTCAAGCGCGCTCCCATTCATGGGGATGAGGAGGAAAGGAAAAGAAAAAAAAACTACACCTAAAGAAAATGTGCTCATGTTTGGGGGTTTTATGGGCAGAGTTCCTCAGGGAAGCTGTCTCGAGCCCCTCCTGGTGGGCAGCTGGTGGAAGACCCCGCCTCCTGCCCCGCCCCAAGGCAGTTTTTAGTTTTTACTTTGTCCTGCGTGGTGTGGATGGAGGAGGGGCGGGGTGAGGAGGATGAAAGGGAGATGAGGGCAGCAGCAGGTCTTCGTCCTGATTTGCCCTGCCCTTTGACTCCGCACCCTTTGTGGGCCTGCTACGGCTCACYGGGTGCCTTGCCGTCGCTCCGCTCGTGGAGGGGGCCGGGGATGGTGGGTGTCCGTTTGACCTTAGGCCTGAAGCGAGCGCGTGAGTTCGTAAAGGCATTTGGCAAGCGTGGTGGAGACCTCCATGTTACTGAGCGCCAGCACAGACAGGTGCGTCTCGTGTCTCTTTACCAACCTGAGGGGAGGGAGAAACAACATCTAGTTTAACAGTCGTCCTTTTTTTGTCACCTAACATCCTGTAATCCAGCAGCATACTTACATGCGACCACAGTCCGAGTGCTTGGCGATGTTCTTTAACGTTAAGGCAGCAGTTAGTCGAATGTGTTTGGTCACTGGACCCTCCTTCTCGTCCTGAAACAGGAAATAATGATTTAAGAAAAAGGCTCAGTTCTTTGGTTCAGTCAAAAAAGAAAAACTAAACACAGATGTGAACACTGCTGAAGAGATGAGTGGAGATTATTTTCTGTCCAGGTGGCAAATATTATTAAAATTATTTATGTTATATTATTACTCCTCCTCTTTTGGAGAGATCACACAAAAAAAATTCATCAAAAAAAAAAGTTTCGATTGGCCTCTTTCAGTTCTGAGATACACTTCACTGAAAGAGCCTCCAGATTCAACAATCATGATGTTTTCTAACTAMAGAGAAGACTGGAAGCTGAAAGCTAAGCGTCCTCTACACAGGCTGGATGTAAAACAAGCTTTAACCTCCGCCCCTCCATGTAAACACAGTAATTTGTTACACAATATGACTGGCAGGTTTTAGCAAGTCAAATTTAAGACCTTTTTAATGCCGCATTAAATGAAATTCAAGACTGAAAAAACTATAAATGCAAGCAATGGCTGTGGTATTTTGCTGTAATACAACCAAGAATGTGTATCACTCAATAAAACATGTTTAATATAAAGATTTTCAGCTCTCTGGTTCAATAATTGTATTGTATAAGTGCAGTTATTTGGTTAGACAAATCCAACAAAAAATGTACATTTTAAATATACATTTACTAAATACATTCATGGCATGAAACTTAATTGTGTTTTAACCTCCAGTTTTGTATTTATACAAAAACAAGTCATCCAGCTAATTGGGATGCAAGTTATCGATTAATGGATTAATCTRAAGTTGATTGATCTTATCGATCGACTAACGATTAATTGATAAGCGTCAATTTTCCTAAAAACCTAACATTTCTCTTGAATCAAGAGTCTTTCTATAACAWGAAGGGCTAATTTTGTACACACTAAATAAAAAAGTACAGTATTTTAACAATTCATTGTGCCAGCTGTGTGAGTAAACACTGACTGAATGAACAGAAAAATGTGGATTTCTCTCACATTATTAAACTTGGACATATTTACAAAATATAACAAAGAGGAATCTGTTAAGTTGCTAGTTGAAAAAAAAAACATAAGTAAAACACTTAATCCATCCTGAAGATGAAAAACTTAACTKAACTTAATTTAAACACAGGGTAATATTTTAAGATTAACTCAAAAACAAAACATAATAAAATATCTCTGAAAGACGTGAGATACAAATGAGTACTGGCAATAGTTTGTTTGTTTACACTCCGTCTGCTTCTGTCTTAGCTGGGCTGCTGGACATGTCATGATCTGACATCAGTTACTATTTATTAGACTGGTTCACTGGCCGGGTTATGTCACACAGATTAGATTAACTTCATATTTTTAGTGACTGTAATGTTTTTGTTTTGTTTTGCTATTTCACATGAAGTTAAACTCAACGAGAGGAAGCTAACGCTAGCCACAGTTAGCTTACCGTTCTGTCGTCCTTCTCTCTTGTTTTAAGCATCATACTGCTGGATAGTCCGGTACACCCTTCAGTACTTTTCCTTTGGGTTTGGTATAGTCCATTATTATTGTTCTGTCGCAAATAAAACTAAATAAGACTCGCACGTTTGCGGTCCCACTCACATTATTGAGACAGCTTTCTGCTGCTCAGTTTAACAGGGCCGGGGTAAAGCAGCAGCGYGCTCTGCTGGATGAAGTCAAAACTACATCGAAATAAGGTTTAAACGGATGTTTTCAATTAATCGAATGGAAGAAACTTTAATCTAACAAACCATTAATCGACAATTAATCGTAAATCAATTAATTGTTTGCATCCCTACCAGCTAATCTTCACTAAATTTACACTTCAACCTGCAGCATGAAAATCCAACTAATTTCTTAAGGAAGAGAGGTTTTTAACAACTTTTCTGAAGTTTATTTTTATGTAATATCAGTGTTTTGAATTGAGGGACTCTGATATATTTTAAAAATGAGCACAGAAAGTCCTTTTCAAAGAATAAATTAACTTTTTTTCTGTTTGACATTTTTCTCCCCTAAAACGATCATTTCATTCAAAGGGAATATTTACAGGATTATAGCTCATGTAGTCAAACTATTCAGTTTTTATGTTTGATCATTTATAAATCATGTTTATCACAGATCAGTTAGTAGTTTAGTTTCTAAACATAAAAGTTTAGCACATCCAAACAGACAGAACACCTCATTATTTTTAAAACATTTTGTGGAATTAAGTTGTTCTTTGTGAGTTTGAGAGAAAATTAAATTTAAAGTGAAACAAAAGTGTTTGCTGCGATCTGGAGTCTACAAACATTCATCTTTTAGTGTTAATTTTGTTTAATAAATAAAGCAGCAACTACAACTTGTCTCTCACCGACAGGATGTCTAGTTATGTCTAGTGTTACTGTGATTGACAGCTGGTAGTTTGTTGTCGTGGGACTTTGGTATCTTTACGTTCTGGGTGCACAAAAAACGGTTTAAAAAAAATACATGTTGGCACTCAAACCGAACTAAATACATTCTGATATGACGGAGACAGAAATGTTAAACTCACAGTGAAGTCCCTGAAGACCAGGTTTCTAGAGCCTCTGCGGAGGGCCATGAGAGCTGCGCTCGGATGATTGGCGATTGCTTTCGGTGCTCGTTGTGCCGGAGTGCTGCCTGCCACTGGTGGAGTCCTTCACAACAAACATTTAAACGTCATCAGGAGACATTATGGATAACTAAAGCAGTTTGTTTTTAATGGGAAGAGGAAGGTGTACGCACTGGGAAGAAGCCTGATTGGGGTTTTGTGCCTGCTGCTCCTCTAGTTTGAGTCCAGCCAGTAAAGCCTCTCGAGAACAGTGCTTATCCTGGCAGAGCAGAGCGGAAACAAATCAGACTAATCCTGCAGAGCGCTTTGTTGTTGGGGATTTTATGTCACAACACTAAACGAGCCGGCTTTACCTGGAGATGCGTGATGAAGGAAAGTCTCTGTCGGGGGAAAGGTTCGCAGCCCTCCCACAGACAGTGCCCTCCGTATACCTCCTTCCCACCGTGCTGAGTTGCTGCATGGTAGAACACTTGAGACGGCGTTTCAAACCACCTGAAAAAACAAACAAACAAATTAATGAGCGGGCGCTCATGAGGGACACATGGATTTTTACTGGAGAGGCATGTACCGTTTGCAGGACTGCCACAGACACCGAAAATTCTGCCCCGCTTTCCTGCTCGGCTCCGACGAGGCCGCGGGGCTCGGCTGTGCTGGGAGGTGGGGGCTGTGGTTACCTGTCGCTGCAGGCTGGGAGGAGGGAGGTGGGGACGGGGTTACAGCCGGCTGGAAAAAGAGAAAGGTGTTAAAAAAAAAAAAACGTAAGAACGGTGTGATCAGAACCRGTTTGTCAGCAGAGATGTAACCCCGGCCTGTCTGAGGGCAGAGGTTGTTCTCTCAGCTGGTTTACTGTAGGAGGTGGGTATCAGTGAGAGCCACGTGGTCTGAACTGGCATCACCTTCTTAACCTCCAAACATTCACACAACATCAAAACGTTCTTGCTTTTCTATTTGAACACCCTCTGTGAGCTCCAAACTGAGAAAGATGTATTTAATATATATCAGCTCAGCTAACAACTCTATTGACTCAAAACACTGAAGTTGGGTTCTGATTTGAAGCTGAGAAACACCTTTGTCAAATCAGAAGCAAACGTCAATGACATTTCATAAAAAATACATTTTTTGTGTCATCAGTTTGGTTATTTTCTTAGATAAATAAATAATTACAATAAGARCATGTTCTGAAACTTAGCAAACTGTAAACCTTTCTTTCCTCTGGAGAACAACTTAAACATGACCCTCCACTACATTTGCAAGTAATTAGACGGGCAAATCCTGAGTATTTAATCATCTTAACTTTTGTTGTTGTTTACTTTTATATTTAGCCATTCATAAAACTTTATTACAAAACATWAAAGTGCATCATCTTTCTCACAGCATGTGAACAAAAAATAAAATACATATTAGATATACAAACAATATTCATAAATAAAAAAATCTTTATTTCAAGCCAAGCTATACCTTATGCTAACTCCCTTAGCTTGATGAAAGTGTTTGTTTTGCAACAGTGTTAACTTAAAAAGAAATATAACCAGAAAAAAAACTGACTGTTTTTTTTTTGAAGAATAAAGAAACAYTTGATTTCCGTTGCATTCAGTGCTGAAATAGTCGATATGTTTGAACAAGTCGCTGCACCTGATGCAACAACTTTCACACCAAACCTGCTAGCAGGAGTTAGCGAGCASTTCCTTCCAATTAAGTAGGTGCCATCTCCCTACTTCCAACAGACCAGACACCCAACCACATCACCAGAAACTAAACGAGCGGAAACCATTTAGTGACTCACCGTTGCGCCGGCTGCTAGCGTGGGAGAGTAGTTCCTCTGCTGCGCGGCGTTCTCTATTGCTACTTTGGCTACTGTGCTTGGGTCCGTTCCTGCTGGCACCGCCACCATAGTGGCGCTGCTGCCGGCATTGTTGGGGTCGCTGATGGTGATGATCCGCACGCCCACTTTGTTGGGGATCCCCGATGGGGCCGCYGTACCGCGGTCCTCGTTTTCAGCTGGCCTTTTAAGGCCTCGAGCCTCTGGGACCACTCCGTTGGTGGGAGAGGAGACGGGACTCTGGGAGGTAAGAGTGGAGKGGGGCGAGGAGTTGGGGATCAGCTGCTGCCTCAGCACAGGTGAGGTGAGGCCTGGCCCCAAAGGTCCATTGGTTAATTCTGAGGAAGGCCGGTGGCCTACTGGCTGGGGTCCGTTGGCCAGGCGCTCGGCCTGCTGGGCTTTGGCAGTGTCCTGCTGAGGAGGAGGAGGAGGAGGAGGACTGGGGAGAGACAGCTCCAAGCTCTTTTCCGAGGAGCCCACCTCTCCGTTCCCCAAGTGTTGTTTGGAAGCAATGTGATTTGGAATGTTTTTGTTAAAGTTCCCACCACCCTCCTCCCGCTCAAAGTCACACACCCCATTGACCAGAGTCTTTTTGGGGTCGGGGTTGCCCTCCAGAAGACTGTTGAGGCCAGGGGAGAGAGCCTGCTTCCCGTTAGCATTAGGACTCTCTGGAACCGGGCCGTTGAGTACTCCCTGGCTGTTCCCTGAGTGGTATGGAGGTAGACTAGACTCCACGCACTTCTGACCGTTTAGCAGCTTGGCGCCTGCCGCCACATCGCCGTTACTAGTTTTGCCGTTGGAGGAGTCCCCCTCGGCCAACGAGTTGTTCTCCATCACTTCTATCTTCCTCTCATGGATGTGCAGCCCCGTGRCATCCTTGGCTTCTTCCTCCTTTTGACAAATGATCTTGTCTCCTCTGAGGGGCGCTGGCAGTGGCGGTGGAGGCGGGGGGCCGGCTGGCACGTGATGAGGGACCGCTGGAGGAGGGGGGCCGGCTGGCACGTGATGATGGATCGCTGCGGTGGGAAACGGAGGCTGGGGGACAGCCGGAGCGACGACGCCTTGGCTGACGGCAGCGGTGGAGGTGGTGAAGCCCGTGTTGGGGACGACAGTGAACGTGACCTGCCCTGCGGCTGTGGGCCCCTGGATGATGGCGGTCGCCCCAGAAYTGCTGGTGGAGATGAGCTGTCCCGGTAGCAGCTGGACCGTCTGCAGAGGTGGCGTACCGGCGGCGGGGAGCTGGCCCGGAAGCAGCTGGACGCTGAGCTGCGGATGCTGTGCAGGAGGATTCTGGGTGCTGTAGCCTGCTTGGTAGATGACCTGTGGACTGGGGGCTATCGTGTTGTTGGGAGGGGGCACCTGTGGAGCAGGGAGGATTAACTTTCCTCCTGGTGTGGAAGGCCCTCGCTTTGGAAGCAGCAGCTGTTTGATCAGGCTGGACTCTGTGGAGGTAGACTGAGGTGGAGGAGTTTGAGATATAATTTGTAGAGGCGGTGGCTGATGATGATGCCGTTTGGTGGACAGTGCATGGCTGACAGCTTGACTAGACTGGACCTGGGTGTTGGAGTGAGGAGGAGGAGGAGGGGAGCAGGGACCGGGAGCAGCTCCAGGCTGCCCCGCTACCTGGACAGTCTGGGCACCAGTGATGGTGGAGGGGTTGGCGAGAACGATCTGGTGTATGGCAGGGGTGTAGGCGGCGTTGGGCTGAGGGTTGGGACTGACTATCACCACGCTTTGCTGCGGGGCCTGCTGGGTGGGAGGAGCTATCGTGGCCGCCGGCCCACCTGACTGGTTYGCTGCTGGTTTGGGGGCGATATTCTGAAACGTGACACGTGACCCTTGGGAGTTGGGCACGCTTGCATTAATCGGCGCCTGACCCACCTGGAYGGAGGGGGCTGAAGCCACGGCACATTGAGGTTCTACCTGTGGAGCGCCGCCTGGGTTCTGAAGCAGAGGTGGATGCTGGGTAATGGGAGGGCACACACCTTGTACCCTGGCGGTGAGGATGTGGCCTTGTGGTACGGGCTGAAACAGTGTGACGGGCGTCCCGGTGGGGAGCATGGGGGAGTGCTGCTGCTGGGACGTCAGTGGAGGGGAGGGGTTCTGGGGGCGGTGGTTCTGGGTGGCCGGGGCAGACAGCGGAATCTGGACTACTTGACCGGGTCGGATCTGCGCCGCCAGTGGATTTGGTGGCGACTGCAGAAGCACCTGAGGTGGCACCGGATGACGGGGAACAGTCTGGTAGCTCGCGTGAGGAGGTTCCTGTGAAGTCAAGGCCACAGAGGGGGTGGCGACCCCAGGGTTGTGGGTGGGGCCCGGGACTCGGACCAACTGTGGTCCCAGGTTAGGATGTCCAGGAGGTACACCTGGTAACACATGAAGAAAACAACTTAGAAACAAAACAACAGTTATACACAGGGGTGATAGTGGAAAAAAATCCTAAGCCTGAACTTTTTTCTGCACCCATATGTTGATAATACCAACATACATTACTAGAAAAACTCTTTAAGAATGCAGATATGTACTGAGCAGAGGATTACCTGTGATATATTTTTTAATTATTACTTTAACACAACTGCAAAATCACCGTTCCAGTGTCAACCTTTATAATCAACCATCAACAYGCACATTATGAAAGTTTTTATGTTTAAAAATGGCAATTTAGGATCTTTGTTGTAGCTAAAAATACTGGAACATTAAAAACCTCATGACTGATATTAATGCAGACAAAATTGGTCAACAAAAMAAACAGAATCTAAGTGAAAACTGTAATTTATATTTCATATTTAATTATTAAATACATTACACTTTTCATAAAGGCTGGTTCCAAATACAAACAATTTTGCTCATGAAAACCCCCAAGTGGCCTGTTTTAAACTGGTAGAATAATACAATATATTATACAGCTGATATTTATGATGGGGTTTGGAGGAAAAATGTCAAAACTTATAAATAGACACCCCTGCTACCCTTTTGTTTAAATAAATATACCTCTTTTAGTTAACATTAGGGATACAAGCTATCAATTAATGAATTATAGCTGATTGACCGGCTGGGGGACAGCCGGAGCGATGACATTAATCTAATGATTAACTGATAAGTGGCCATTTTCTTAAAAACCTGAGTTTTCTCTTGAATCAAGAGGGTTTTTCCATAAAGTGAAGGACTATGTGTTCTTATAATATAATGAATTTAAAAAAGCAGCACGTCATTATAATTTAGCAATTAATTAACCCAGCTGTGTTGATTTCTCACACACTAAACTTGGACATATTTTTTTATAAAATATAACAAAACAGAAATCTATTGGGCTGCTGAATGGAGGAAAAACAGATGAAAAAAAAAATTTTTAGATGTAAACTATTTTTAACTTATTATTAGGCCCAATAAGCTCAGCTCAGGAGCAGGTCTCTCCCTCCTCYTYCCCTACTGAGTCATGGTACATCCACACCAAAYGCGTTTTGAGCATCAGGAGCATCTGGTTTTCATGCAAAGTCAATGGTGGACGTGCATCTAGGGGCGTCTAGAAGCAGAGCAGCGCATCTGGCGCATTTGGAGCAGCGCGGCTCGAAGCAGTGCACGTGCGGCACTTCCCAAGCGTCCGCCGCATGAGTTGGAAAATCTGAACTTTTGCTGCTCGATGCGTTGCATCAACCAATCCGAGAGACTCATTTTTCCACATCACAGTTTCCTGAATGTTGCCCACTAAACTGAAACAGACGAACAGGAGATCTTTACCTGAAATCGACTGGATTTTGTGGCTGGATATACAGTATAAGTGCCGATGTGGGGGTCAGCTGGTCCGGACAAAAAATAATTAAATTTTAAAAAAAAGGTCCGTCAGCTGGCAGCTTCTGGAGTGGCGAAACTAACCGAACAAATCGCCTCTAAATCATCTGGTGAGTTTATTATCTGCTGTGCGCAACGTTCGCTTGCTCTTTAGTAATTAAATCAAAGCCATTTTCTTTTATTTTATCTTTATTTCACCCGCCGAGGGCAGACGCTCTTCCCACACCCCGCTGCCGCTGCTGCTTCTCGTTCTGGTCTGGTCTGTGAATGCATCTGTCCAGCATCAAGATGCGTGCGTTTTGAGATTTTTGGAGGCGCGCAACGCGTTTGATGTGAACGTAGCAGACCTCTGAGCTGCTCGCGTCTTCTTCCCCCCTTAGTTCTGTAGTTTTTTTTACTGCTTGATAAATAACTTTAGGCTTTGGTCAGGCAAAAGATCAGAGGATTTTTTATTTTATTTATTTTTTGGCTCTAGAAGGATGAAGCTGACGGTGGACTGAGGTGTTTATTTCCACGGGACCTGTTTCCTCCTCGCGACGCACATCAAATGGCATTTAAAAAGGTATACCCCCCCCACCCCGTGAAAGGATAATGCTACGTTCACACCGAACGCGTTTTGAGCAGCCAAAAAGCGCAAACGCCTCAAGTTGGACGCACTATGTTCAGACTGAAGAACGCACTAGTGTTCAGACCAGAACGAGAACGAGAAGCAGCAGCAGCGGCTGCAGCCGGGTGTGGAAGGAGCGTCTCCTCAGCGGGTGAATAAAGAAAAGAAAATGGCTTTGATTTATTTACTAAAAAGCAAGCGAACGTTGTGCACAGCAGATAATTAACTCACCAGATGATTTAGAGGCGATTTGTTCGGTTAGTTTCGTCAAAGCTCTTTACCGCAGCTTCGGCTGGTCTCTGTCCGCCCCACACCACACCACAGAGGAGGTGGAGTGTCCCGACAGCTTGACAAAACAAAAATAAAACCTACGCTGCAGCTGCTCACAAGATCAATAGTTTAGATCAGGAATAAAAGTGTTGGGTCTTGTTTGACTGAAGTTCGAGCTGTTTTTCATTTCACAATGACGAGCTGATCGCAGACATGTAGCTGTCACTCACTGCCCCGCGCTCTCTGCCTTTTTTCCTCCTCCCGCTGTCCTCCCGTGTGTGTTCTACACACAGCGTTCTTGTTTACCTGTTTCTGCAGGACGTACAGCAGGCTGGGGCATGCGTGTCTCTGTGTGTGTGTGTATGTGAGAGAGAGCAAGAGAGACTTTTATATCAGAACATGGCCACTTTGACGAAACCGTGGAGATGACACGTCATTGTGGAGAGCAGTTAACCAATATGCTAATTAGCCTGCAGTACCACTGCTCAACCCATAGTATGCAGC